CTCCCATGTGGAGATTCTGCTTCTTCAGTTCCGGGATGAACGTGGAAGGGTCAAGATATTGGTATATGGGATCGCAAAGCTGTTCAGTCCAAATATCCGACCACACCAAACTTCCTTCCAGCCTAGAGGAAAGGGGGTGGTTCGATTCCATTCCGTGGTATTTTCCGTAGTCGTCCGTCACTATGATGAAGAGCTTGAGTTCTGACCCCGTATTCGGCTTAATGTAGTGATCAAAAAGGTAGGGGATATCGGTCAAAGAGTCTTCCGGCTCATCATCATAAGAGACAGGTGTCTGGCTTCGTGACGTTAGACCATCCCGAACCTGGTCCTTTTTCTCCTCCCACGAAAGAACATTACGGAACGTTACGAACGGCACGGTACAGTCGGTATACCGATCCATAAACGTCGAGAGACCGAAGTCGAAATCTGGGATGGCTTCTTTGAGTTCTTCCGTCCACTGCAAGTAGGTGTCGGGATTCTCCTGAATATATTTGAAATACGTCTTCCGCCATCCTTGATGGATCCACACTCTCACAGGAGTCCCAAGGCATTGACGCTCATCGCTTGCTACGGCGAGCCCGGCAATAAGCAACGCCGACTTCAAGACTGGGTTCATAGTTCACACGTAACACATTTATTGGAGGCTCGGGGTATGAGATATCATAGTGGGAGTCGAGGTGGTCAACAGCGTCGGGACGTCGGTCAGAAACGCAGTGGCGGCAACTTTCGGAACCAACCTGGTGATGCGGAGAACGAGCGGCAGGGTGTTCGTCCCCAGGCTATCCAGGTGTCCGCAGCTCTCGTATCGACTGCGCCTTTTGTTCCCCTCATCTTGGTCCCCCTCCAAGTTTTGGGATGAAATCGTTTCCATTGCCGGTGGATGTGGCAGCCGAGGTGTGTGTGAAAGCAGATATGCCCACGCCGGAAGATAGATCAGTTGTCACTGTGCCGCCATTCTTAGCCCTAAGTAAGACTCCTTGGGTCTGGGAACTCAACCCTCCCCCCCCCCCCCCCCCGAGACTAGACGGTCAATGGTACCCAGCCCCTAACAGCACATCTGACTGCAAGTTTCTAGCATGTGTTTCAGAGGGTCAATTGGATGGTCTGTCTCCTGAGGGCAGGTTGTACAGAATTCATGAGCTAAACCCACAAGAGCGATCTTTATCTCTATGTTGTGCTGAATCGTACGAGATTGTGCATCGTAATTTGATAGGACTCAAGTCCTTACCGTCGCTGCTATATACAGGACAGCTGGTAACTTTGGATGAAGAAAACAAAGCTATTTCAAACGCTGTGTTCCAATGTGACAGGAAAGCGGTAAGAACGAGTAAGCCTTGGACTGGCACATTGCGGATTTTGGTCTATCATCAAAACGGTGTGTTAAACCGATCATCATTGGAAGAGTCATCATTGAACGAATCATCATTGGAAGGGTCATCATTGAACAATATTTCAAATAGCGTATGTGTATTGCGAAGGCTGGCAGAAGAGTCGAAAGCGCATCACCTTGTGGTTTTCGAAGATCCTGTCAATCCCTCACTGTCACTTGGGCGCTCACTGGCTTGCAGTGGACAACTACGATCCAGCTGCCCAATTACAGTCCTGAACCATGCAGCGTGCCGCCTTTTAGTTAATGACGCGGAGCTGCCCATCCTCTTCAGCCCCAAACCCCCTCACTCACTAAGTTCAGCCGCTGGGAATCGCGAACGCGTATTGGAAGACCTCCTCAGTCAGGGATCTGTTCTCCCGGGAGCCTGGATGGCTGGAGTATATTCCGTACACCCCGCCGACCTGGCCTCATACGCCCTCAAGCCTACTGACCTGTGGATTGTTACACCTGAGCCGAACAACCTACCATCGTCGCCGACCGCCGTGTCGACGGCACCCATGTCGGCCACACCCACCTGGTCTCAAGGCCACTACTTGTGGCTCTCGGTACCGAATTTGAGCTGCATCGACATTGGCGCAGGCGGACCTTTATTTAGAAACAACGTCGTCATTTCCTGACAACACTAGGGTGTCCGTACGTCCGGTAGGGCTCCCATAGGCCCGGCAGAGAGTTCGTTGCAACGAGCTCGCGGTGAGACGAGCTGACGTCAAGTGTGTGCAGGCTGTATTTTTTTGTGGTTTCGAAAACACAACTGGAGTATCATGGTTTACAAGCTTGTCCTTGTCCGTCACGGTGAGTCTACCTGGAATAAGGAGAACAGGTTCACTGGCTGGACTGACGTGCCGCTTTCTGAGACTGGCCGTCAGGAGGCGTTGGCTGCCGCTGAGGTGCTGGCAGCGAAGGGTTACAAGTTCGACGTGGCGTTTACTTCTGTGTTGAAGAGAGCGGTGACGACTTGCTGGAGTGTGTTGGAAAACACGGATCAGTGTGCGGTGCCGGTGGAGCAGTCGTGGCGCTTGAACGAACGCCACTATGGCGCCCTTCAGGGTTTGAATAAGGCGGAGACGGCGGAGAAGCACGGCGAGGCGCAGGTGAAGATCTGGAGACGCTCCTACGATGTCTGCCCACCGGCTCTGGAGACCTCGGACGAGAGATTCCCTGGCAACCAGGCTCTGTACAGCAAACTGCCCAAGGACTGCCTGCCCCAGACCGAGAGTCTCAAGACCTGCATCGATCGGGTACTCCCATACTGGCAGGACACTATCGCTCCCCAGGTCTTGGACGGAAAGAATGTTTTGATAGCTGCTCACGGAAACTCCCTCCGAGGCCTTGTCAAGCACCTTGACCAGATGACTGAGGAACAAGTCCTCGAATTGAATATCCCCACCGGAGTGCCGCTCGTGTACGAACTTGACGAGAACCTGAAGCCCATCAAACACTACTACTTAATGGACGAGGCTGAGCTCAAGGCACGTATGGACGCGGTCGCCAACCAAGGCAAGAAGCAGTAATCTTTTTTTTTGTGTGTGCGACGAAGTAGTCTAAAGAGTACCCATACTTGATGATTGACTGAGTGCATCCTGTTGTCACGGGGCATGGGCAAGCTGACTGCAGCTGCGACGACCCGTTTGGCAACTGCCTATTCCCAACCGTCGGTTCAGTATGAGTGAGTCTTATCCAGTCAATATGAGTTATCCAGTTTGCGGATCTAAGGATGGAAGCACTCATGTTGGAAGCAGTCATGTTGGAAGCAGTCATGTTGGAGGGACGGAATGTTTTGATGCCTTATAAAGCTTATTCAAAAGTCCCATGGACGTGGTTACCAATGCATGGTAGTCAGCACCTCGGGCTATGTCCCGCATGCGTTGGAACTCGTCAACGGTGTTATACAGGGATCTGGTCACAGGTTCCATATACTTATGGCCAGTGTTGAGGGTGAGGATGGGTTTGGGTGCTGTGTAAATGGAGGGGAAGGAGGACTCTTTTGGTTTGGATAGATTGGAGAAGAGGTACAGCTGTCGTTCGAAGGGTGGCAGTGTGCGTTCGTAGTCGATTTGTTCTGCGGATTTTTTGAGCTCTTCGCTATGGATTTTACGTTCCGAGCTCCACGAAAAGAGCGTCCGGATCTGTCCAGAAGTTAATAGCTTGTATTGTGTAGCAGTGGTAGTATCCCGATGAGTACTATTCTGCTCCAGGTGGGCTTGTAACAGTTTAAGATTTGCTTGCTCTGTCTTCTGAGCCTCAGCCAGCAACATCGCTTGGGTTACCTTCTTAGCCTTTCGACCCTTCGTCTGTTCCTCCTCTTCCCCATCTTCCTCCAAAACACTCCACGTTCTCGTGCTGTTCGCCAAACGCTGCTGACGAACTCTTGTTATCTTCTCATAGTCGAACCGCTTTTTGCGCTTGCGTGCTTCCTCCTGTCTCAACAACTCTTTCTCACCCTCATTCCCCTCATCACTACTACTGGAAGACTCGAAGAAATCCGAATCAAACTCGTCTGCCACTTCAGCCAGGTCCTCAGAATCAGCGCCCCACTCCGAGTCGTCTTCTTCATTCCATACATTCGCTTGCCAGAACTCGTCTTCTGGCACCGACAGGTCCATACGACCTGGTGATTTTTGTTCAATATTTTACTCTCTCCCTAATGTCCAGCCAGTGGTTCGTCCATCAGCACTGGCTCATCAATTAAGCGCCTGGCAGTCAGCGGTAACCGATGATTGCCGCTGCCGCCGGACAGACACTCAGCTACTATCTACACCCACCCTGACCCCTTCTTAGACCCCTTGTTAAGTTCCCCTCGTGAGTCTGAAACAGCCTACTTGAATATTCTTTCCTTCCAAAATGGGTTCGTTGAAAACAAACCTGCTATACACTATACTATATACTATGCCTCGCTGAATCAGGTAGCATCTTCTCAGCCCGTGTAGTCGACGACCGCGGCACACAGCCGCGGCACACAGCCGCGTCCAAAAGGCATCGCGGCTTACAGACTTACACGCTATCTATGGAGTCTGCTACGTCGATGACGAACCTAAAGAGTACGTCCGACTTTAGCACTCTTTGAAAGGCTTCGTTGACCTGACTGAGTTTGACGTGCTCGCACATGGGTGTAATAGAGTGCTCGTGGCAGAAGTCAATCATGTTCTGAGTTAGTTTGATGCCGCCGACCAGGCTGCCTTGAATGGAGCAGTTTTTCATCACAAGGGCGGTGACGGGCATTGGAATGATTTCATCGACAGGCGGTAGTCCGACAGTTATCAGGGTGCCTAGAGGTTTGAGCAGCCTCATATACTCGGCTAGGGGCTTCCCGGAGACGGCTACTGTATCCAGCAAGTAGTCAAATCGGTTGCCATATTCCTTCATGACACCATCGTTCTTCTCCGGGTCTGAGCCTACCTGAATCATTCCCAAAGCACCTAGCTGCTTAGCCAGCTGCTCCTTGTTCTTGGATCTTGAAATCACATACACCTCATTCGTAGGATTAATTTTGGCTGCAAACTGCACGGCCAAATGGCCAAGACCACCCAGTCCAATGACTCCTATGCGCAGATTACCGCGACTCATATGATTACTTACTATTGGAGCGTAAGTAGTAATACCGGCACACATTAACGGGGCCATATCCCTCAAAATCTCCGGCTTCGTGTCCTTCGGAATCTTCACAGCAAATGCCTTCCGTATCACCACAAATTTCCCATAACCTCCATAAGTAACTTCACCTCTAGTAAAGCCACTAAACGTGTCCACTTGCTTATCACAATGCATTTGACGATCGTCCAAACACGACTCACATTCCAAGCAAGAATCACACATAAATCCAATGCCGACATAATCCCCCTTCTCAAAGCCAGGCTCACTCGACGGCCCATCAATTTGCTCCAGCTCCGATCGACCCGCCATCTCAATCACACCTATGAACTCGTGACCCGGAACACAAGGGTAACGCGTTGTGTGCCAGTCATTCTCAGCCATGTGAATGTCTGTATGGCAGATTCCACAGTACAAAACTCGAACAAGCAACTCGTCCTCCAAAGGATGCCTAATCGTATACTTCCAGGGCACCAACACACCCTTGGTGTTCATCGCCGCGTAGCCAACATTCGGGACACGGTCAACATTGGCCATGGTGGACGACGAACAACAGTTAAGAAGATTAATTTTGAAAAGTTATAGCTTTCTTCACTCTTCCAACTGGAATATCAATACGCGCCGTCCCTTGAGCAAGCGCGCACACGCGTGTGCACACACGCGCGGGCGCACCATCCAACTATCTACCCTTAAAATCTGGTTTTGGCCTTGGCCAATCAACATCCCATTTGCCATCTCACTGACCACTCTCGCTCTCAGATCAAACATCGCCCTTCTTCTTCATCCTGATTCATCAAGCTCCGCCAACAGTTTTTTAAGGATCAATCTTACCGCCACCAAGTCAACAACAGACGTGAGATCGTTCTGCAATATGTGTGCCGCCAGCAGCTTGAGCCGGTCGATTGGGATTTGTTCAGACTCCGCTTTGTGTTTCGCGACCAGCTTCGAAATACATGACATAGTGAGTTGCTCATCTTCAGTCATCACCTTCCACTCCCAGCCCACGCTTTTCTTTGTCGTCATGAGTGCAAAACCGAAAGATTTTCGTCAAGACTACCAGCGGTGCGTGGCGTTAGTCAGCGGCGCGCAGCGACTGTCGTTGCTTGTGGCCGGGAGCAGTTCTGTGGTGAGGGAGGTTGGTGCGTCGGAAAAGGCTATAGGCGGTGCGACAGAGAAAGGAAAAAATGGTTTCTGCCAGCAGAGCGGCGGGCCGCGAACTACAGTCGTTGCGTTGGTGAACTGTTTTGGTCGAATTGTTCGGTTAAATTTTCGGCAGCCGTACTAGTCGCCTTGGCTGCCAAGTGTGTTGTTTACTATGCAAATTGATGCTCATCTACACCTACAGCTGCTTCTCTTCGGAAGTCATCGTCAAAGTCGCCACCCGCAGCCTCCTCTTCCACCGCTAGGTCAGCCGGTCCGCCGCCTATCTGTCGGTACGCTCCCAGGCCGCCCAACAAGAGCGCGAGTGCGCCAGCGGAAGCGCTACCGACCACCACGGCCGTATTGGTCTTAGCGGCAGCAGACGTAGTGCCAGTAACCGTTGCGGTCGTGGTCACGGTTTTCGGAGTGGTTGTCTTCGTCGTGGTGGTTGTCTTCGTCGTGGTGGTGGTCGTAGTGGTGGTGGGGGTTGTAGTGGTGGTGGGGGTCGTAGTCGTGGTGGGGGTCGTAGTCGTGGTAGTAGTGGTCGTTTCGATAGGCGTGCACTGTGCCATGTCGTGCACAGTGCCATGGATGGCATCAGAAATTTCCTGAGCAGTGGTGCCGATAGGACGGATGACGTATTGTCCGATGTCTTTGTCCCATCCGAGATCACTAAAGACGTTATCCCACCATTCGCAAACCTCGTCATTAGTGCAGAACACAACCATGGTCAAGCCTTGTTCTTTCACGTCCCCAAAGATGGTCGCCGTCTCCAGGTACTGGTACCTTGGGTCGCAAAGTTCCTGGTATTTCGGTTCAGGCCATACCTGATCGCCCTGCATAGCAGGGTTCGTGGGGTGGTTCGATTCCATTCCTTGATACTTGCCGTAGTCATCTGTGACGATGATGAAGATTTTTACCTTTGGCCACCAATGCCGGAGATACTTTTCCCAGAAGAAGAACGGAATAGCTGTCAACGAGTCTTCGGGGCCATCATCTTCATCTTGCTCGTCGATATTATCGGTAAGTAAACCTACACGAACATTCACCAGATCCTCCCACGTCAGGACCATCAGGAACTGAGTGAACGTGGTTGCACCCGGTTCCGACGCGGTCCCTGAACGTGGAGAACCCGACGCCAAAGTAATCGGTCCATGTCTCCTTTTTGAGTTAATAGATCCACTGCATATAAGTATTCGCTCGGATGTGTCTTCGCGAAATAGATTCATACCAAACCATTACAGTTGACTCAGTCTGCTCGGGGTTAAGGCTGTGGGGTTCAGGTGTTATCATAGGTCTTCTTCCGTCATCGGTGAATTACTTGCGTCCAGATCATTCGCGAGGATGGCCCGATGCGTGCTTTTCTTGGCTGTGAAAAAATGGATGAAAGATTTTCCTCATGTAGAGCGCAACGTTCGTAAAATATTAGAAGACCATACACGCCTCACAATTCGCCTTTCAAATGACGTACACAGACACCTACAGCATACACTCGTGCACGTTAGACCGACGTTTCCAATATTGGACACTTCCAACATTGGACACTTCCAACATTGGACACTTCCAACATTGGACACTTCCAACATTGGACACTTCCAATATTAGATACTTCCGACGTTAATCATAGTCGCAACATTCAGGAGGTGAACTGGAATGAACTTAGAGCGAAGATTTGGAGTGTAGCTGGTCACAAAGACTACTCGACAACGATTCCAGTGCTATTTGCGGCCAGCCTGAGAGACCGTCTTGGTATAATACATGCGGCCATCAAACGGTTACAATATATGGGTGGTGAAGTTATGTCCCAGTTAGTGTCTTTGGAACCGGTCTTAATCTCCTCCAGAGCAAGTCAACCAGACGGCGGGTCACTCCCGACCGCACCAAATAGTTCAGGACGTGGTTCGGCTGCAGGACACGTTTCACCAAGCAGAGACCCGGAAGTTAGTTCAGCACACCAGAAAAAAAGGAGAACCAGCAGTCGAGGCGAGGCTCATGGGAGTCAGGGCTCAGGACCTCCTCCCAGGAATAACTCCCAGGCGTGCGGCGACTCGGGTGCTAACTCTGTCCGGGACTCGGTCA